AATGCTTTTGTCATCTACAAATGCATTGGGTCACACTTATCACTTTCCTGGGGGGAGCCATGCAGTCTGTGAACTGCCAGGAGGACATGCTTGTTATAAAAAGCTATCACTTTATTACAGACCTTGGCAACTACAAAAGACAATGTCTGTTTTGCCATGTATTCCAATCATGTTAATATTTGATGTCCACAAAACAAGTTCCATTCAGGTCACCTACTGTGGGAATAACTTCTGTATTCATTCCATCTGTTTGGTAGGACACTAGGATCTATAAATGAGTGAGCTAGAGCTCTTGGCACCAAGAAAGGCCCAGTTTGCATAAGAAGGGAAAAGAGGGAATCAATAGCCACAACTAAATGAGGAAAGGACTTTAATTCACAAGCCATGGCCCGATTGACAAACAGTGAGTGATAGCATCTGACTGGCCAGAGAGTGATCAAAGTTTTGCAACTGATAGATTTATATATTATTTCATGCAAGTTTTCATATGACAAGGATTGGCACACATATATTTTGCTTTGCATAATCAGAAATCATTCGGATATTTGTTGGCTAGAATACTAAGTAATTTCTTGAAAACATACTTCTTTTGTCTCCATCAGACAAGTGACTTCGTTTGATAGATAGTGTGTTGTGCAAATAACCTAAAATCATAATAGAAATGATCCTATATGCAGTCATAATAAAAGTAATCCCTGCCCTATGTGACCTAGGTGAGTCACCTAACTTCTCTGGACCTCAATTTCATTGTGTATAAAATGGGCTTACTTATGTAGGACCTAATGCTCTTTACTGTAATTAGAGTTTACACAGCACAGTGCCTAGTACGCTACAGACACCTAGTACATGGGCACGAATATTATTTACACTAATCCACAGCTCATAAACTATACCTTGTGTCTCAGAGAAATCCACCACTCACTCCCTCATTCCCTAGGAGGGCCTAAGTCAGTGAGAGATGCCAGGCTAAAGAGTCCCCTGGGTCAAATTCTCAAGGAAAAAAAAATAATTTGTTCATTCTTCCAACCTTCATCCCCGTTGCTGGCCTCTTCTAGGAGTTGGCAGGGCATGGTGGGTGGGAAGAGGATGAATCAAGACAACTCATTCTCAACAGGCCTTCAGACCTGTCACTCTGTTCTGCTAGCCCAGCACAAACTCAGCAGGTCTCAGCCTGGGAATCACCCCACCCCAAGCCTGCCCACCCCTTTCCTCAAGAGCACCCCAGCCTGGCCCAGGCTCTGCATTGCCCAGGCCTGACTTTCCAGAGGAAACTACTTTGAGATTGGCATGAGCTTAAGGTGTGGCTACTGTGGCCCTGGCCAGTGCTAAGTGGAGAGCCACAGGGCAGAGTAGGGGCAGGGCAGGGTGGGATAGGGAGACGACAAATGCACACCCACTCCCCAGGGCCTGGGTGCTTTGCACAAGTGTGGAAACATTTTTTCTCCTGAGTCTTCAACTGAGAGCAATTTAAATTCCCTGTAGCTGTCGGGGTGGAGCCTGAGAACCTGGGGTGCACTGGTAGGTGGAGCCAGGGAGGGAGAGTTGAGCGGAGCACTCAAGAAAGCTGAGTTTTTGTCTCAACCTTTTCAGAAACCATGCTGCACAGTCGGAGGAGAGACCTGCCTGAAAGCAAGCTCAGCAGTCCTGACCATGTACCTGGAGGACAGTCCTCATTAGCAGTGCCTGCCCATTGCAGCCTCCAGCAGTCTGGCCAGGGACACAAATCCCAAGCTGGACAAAATAGTGGTAAACTGGCTTCCCCAAACCTTAAGCCCTGAGAGGAACTGATCACATATGATAACCAGAACAGCAACAGTGTCAGCTAACGCTGACTATGCAATTAATCTGCAGCAAATACCACACTAATCACTACACAACTTGTTACAGTCAACCCTCACATCCACCCCACCTTTAGACAGGACAACTCAGGAACAGAAGCAGCAAGAACTTGCCCAAAGCTCCCAGAGTCCGGACTTGGCAGAACCAGAATTTGACAAGTTCTAGGTCCAGAGCCTAGATCTGCAGCTTCAAGAGTTGATCTCAAGGCTAATGGACCTCTGGAGACCCCTGTTTTTAGCTGTCCCAGTTCTAAAGTGGGCATAAGGAGCTCTGCCCAGGACATAAGGCTGAGAGCAAACATAGGGAATGCAAATCTGTTGGCAAGAGGGGGCAAGGGTCTCCACTACTCCAACCCAAGGTCAAGTGATGCAAGTGAGTGGACATGGGGCACGGAGAGCTCCTGGAGGCAAGGGGTCAGGGACCCAGAGTAGTGCAAGGTTGAAACTAGAGAGGTTGTTCTTGGGGGTGTACAGAAAGATGGGCATGCAGGAGTCAGGCTGTCAAGTGTGCGTTGGTCCAACCCCCACCTCCCTGACACCACCACCAACTCTTAGGCAGTCATGAAGCCCGGCCCAGCTTGGCCATCTTTGCACCTCTGGTGTTAGACCCAGTTCCACGGTAAACACAAGAGCAATTTATGGAAAGGATAAAGCAAGTAAGGCTGTTCACTTGTGCTCAGGAATCTGTCTGGGTGTTTCTGTACACATGTCTATGATCCCTCTGTCCCCTGGGGATATCAGAGATAATGTGGAGGACCATTTGACCTCAGCACATCCCTTGTCTGTTGAACTTAGGAGGGCTCCCTGCCCTGGCTCATAACCTAGGTATGGCTCTGCACTCTGGCACTCTCTTGTTCTCTCCTCCATGAGTGAGATAGGACAGGGCCACTGTCACCTCCTTTGACTCTACTTATTAGTGAATGCTTCATGACCCATAAAGACCAGGGACTTCAGCCAGGCACAGTGATGAATACTGTTAAGGCCTCATTTAGATACAGAATCTAGAAGAACGGAGTTACCAGGAAGAGACAGTAGAATGGAAAGACAGAGGATGGCATGCAGGTTCTTGAGTTCTACCACTTAATAATAATGTATTATGTGTCATGTATTTCAAAGTATAACAGTCTTCCACTTTCTGAGGAAAAGACCTCTCCTTCTAGACACCTTAAACAAGACTACTACCAAGCCCTACCTACATATATGATGGCTTTCCAACACACGCTCAAGCTGACAATTTAGGGAAAGCAAAAGACTAACAAAGTAAGCAATAATAAAAATAGAACAGTAGTACTACTATGCTGTAATAAAAAGTTGTTTGAATGTTCCCCTTTCTCCTTTACCACCCTCCTCCCCCGTCTTGGTACCTCTTCAAACTACTTGTATTTGCACTTCTTGGTGACTGAGGATAACTGAAGGAAAACTGTGGACTGGGGTCGGGGCGTGGGAACAACCTAAAAGCTAAAAGCTCACAACAAATATCCTCACTACAAAGAAATGATGAGCATTTGAGTTTAAAAAAAAAAAAAATCTTCCCAACACCCCGAAGACCTTAGGAGAAAAGATAGTTGGGGAAAAATTCAGAGTAGAACAGGCTGCTTCTAGATGCCCCCCATATACACTTCTCCCCTGACTTCCCCTCCTTCCCACTAGGACTCAGGGCACTTTCCTCCAGAAGTCCACCTGCCTGCCATGGCCCTATCTGCACCTTTTATGGCCATCACAGCCACTCTGTGACTGGCACAGTGCCCAGCATATAGCCAAGAGCTCGGGACATAGTGAGAGATGGATGTGGTACAGTTTGAATGTGAAATACAGCCTTCACACACACACACACACACACACACACACACACACACACACACACACACACACTGCTCTGCCCCACATGCACACGGGCTTATGTGTTTGAACACTTCATTCTCCAGTGGCAACACTGTTGGGGAGGCTGTAGAAAGGCATGAGGCCCAGGAGATGGGACTTGAGGGTTATGGGCCTACTCCACCTCCTGTCCAAGCTATCTGTGCTTCCTGATCCACGGAGACAGGAGCAAGTGCCTTATGCCCCTTCCTGTGCCTCCCCCCCCCGTTATTTAAACTGTGACCGAGATGAACCCTTCCTTTCTTAAGTTGCTTCTGATTGGTATTTTTATCACAGATAATACCTAATAGTATTAATAGTACCTAATAGAGATGGATGAGTAAGTGAAGCCAGCCCCTATTTTTTTTTTCATGTCTGATCACTAATGTCTGTTACAGGCACATAGCTCAGGATAAATAGGGAGTGTGGTGTCCAGAGAGCAGGACAAGTGATGCCTATAGGAACTGTCTGACTTAATAGTGTGTGCTAGAAGACATAAGTTGAGCCCAGATGCTCAGCACAGTGAGAGATGAATCCACTATGCCTGGGATATCACGGGGAAAGTTCTGAGACAGGACTCACAGGAGTTGCTGATGGCTGACAAAGGGAGAACAGGAGAAAAGATGTCAGCAGAGGGAGGCTGAGAAAGGCCAGCTGGTACAGGAGAACCTGCCCCCTTGCGGGATTGCCCTAGAGAGCTGTTGAATTGGGTGTGCTACTATCTCTTGTGGATTCTCTGTCCATCTGCTCAGAAACTGTGCTACTACCATGCTCTTAGCTCTGGGATCTTTAAGGCCTAGAAGATATGCAGATCACGGGAAAGGGGAAACCGAGGCACACAGACTAACCCAAGCCTCTTGGCAGCTGTGGCCTGAACAGCTGCCCAATGAAACCATCCTTCCTTCCTCCCTCGAGGGCTCCCTGCCCCTCAGACAGTGGGCTCTTAGTGGCCAGGCCAGGAGGAGAAAGACAACAGGAACCATCCAAAGAGGCCCATTGTTCCCAGCAAATGACTCACATGGGGAATGCTCCCTCCCTATGCGACAGCCCTCTTCTCCAGTATGCTGTTCCTGGTGACTCACAAAGGCTAAAATCACAAACCCTGTCCACTGTTTGCACCTCCCTCCCGGGCTCTGAGAATGTAAGTGTGTTACTCAGGCATCGGCTCCTCCCCTGTAGGTGGGTAAGAGCTGTAGGTGGGTAAAAGAAGACCAGACTGGCATAAGTTCCTCCAAGTTGAGCAGATATGAGGGTACTGGTTCCCTGTGACACTTGAGGGAAATGACAGAAATACCATTCCTGGTGTGCAGTGTGCTGGTCTTTTATTACTGGAGTGGTTTGGACATAGGGGTCAGGCAGAGTACTGGCTTCTAGCTAGCACAGCTCCCACTTTCCAGACAGGAGTCTGCATCAGGTGTCCAGGAGGACCCAGAGCTGAGATGCTCAGGGCAGGGACACAGGCAAGGGGTAGAGCTTTGGTGAGAGCAGTACTGTCTCTATTTCCAGCGTCCGGTGACTTTGGCCTTCCCACGAGTTTTGGAGCTGCAGGAGAATCAGAACCCCATCAGATGGAGGGAGTGGGGGAGGCAGTTTCCTGGGGGGCAGAGGGTGGGCTAAGGGGAGCTAAGGGTTGAAATGGCATTCTGGAGCAGGTAGAATATGACAACCATCCCATCCCACCCTGCACAGGCAAGTGGTGGCTCAGGCTGAAGGAGGAAGCTGCGAGTAGGGGAAAGAGTAGGGGGAGGGCTGGGGTCAGAACCCTCACAGCAGGATGGGGGAGGCAGGATGTAGACACTTACACTTTCTGATTGTCATTGATCCTGTTTCGAAGAACATTGATCTGGAAGAAAAGCAGGGAAGGCAAAGGATGAAGCTGGGGTTTATTCTTTGAGGTCTGGGAGGGGAAAAGGTTCAGTGTTAGAAGCAAGGGTACAAATGGGGGTGGGGGTGGAGAGAAATGCACCAGAACATTGTTGGGGACCAGCGAGTGAGTTGAAAGGGAAGATGGGGGACAGGGAATGGGGCTTTGAGGGTCAGCAGTGGTGAGGACTAGGTCCAACCAGGAGCATGGCAGAAGGGCGGACACAGAGAGCAGCTCACTTCGTATTTTTGCTGCTTGAACTTCTCCTGCAGGTCGAACTTCTCAGCCTCCAGGTTGTGAATGCTCTGCCATAGCTCCTTGGCCTTCTCTCTGCAGGAGACACAGTGGGAGTGAGGTGAGGAGCAATAAAGACAGGCCTCCAGTGGCTTTGGCTTCACCCTGGTCTACACAGACCCCCAGTGTTCAGGGACAGACACCAAGGGCTGCCAGAGCAGAGTTCTGGGAGTCCTCGGAGTTATGAAGAAGCACTCCCGGTACTGTAGAACATCTAATTCAATCCTCCTTCCCACCTCCTGTGTGAAGGGGGGCAAGCAGGATCTCAGAGAGAAAGCTCGCCCAGGGGGACCTGACTGCTGAGGCCTTGGTAAATGTGTGAGGGAGTAACTCCCCCTGGTGGTTGATAGTGGGAAGTACCTTCTACCCCACCTCTACCCAGAGAGAATAGAGTGCCAGGGGCCACCCAACCAACTGCCCCACCTCAATTGGTCTTCATTCAGGTGGTCGATGGCTAGCACCTTCCTCCTCTCAGCCAGGATCTTCTTCTTCTTCTCTCGCTCGGTCTGTCTCTTCCCACTCTTGCGCTCTGTCTAAAGGGGGTGGTGAGCAGGGACACTTGTCTAGAGAGAGCTCCTCCCTATCCCCTGGCCCTCCCAATACCCTGGGGAGTAAGGCTAGGTCTGAAGAATACGGGGTTTCTATCCTGTTGCTCTAGCAACATGACACACCGTTACCTTCTGGATTCCCCCAGAGAAACTGAGGCAGGGGCAAGGAGGGGCCTATTACCAGTCTCTTCCAGACTCCCTCCTCCCACAACTCTTCCTCCTGCAGGGTGTGCTCCCCTCCCAGGGAGCACTCTACAACTAAAGGGAGGAGGAAGAGGACTTGAGGTTTTGTACCCACCTGAGCTTGCTAAACCAGGAAACCATGAGAGAAAGACCCAGAGAGAAAGACCAAGACCGCCACAGAGACACGGAGAGAAGCAGGTAGGAAACGGGAAGACAGTAAGGACAAAGTGATTTGACTGCTCAGCAGGGGTTGCCTTCTGTGCCAAGCACAGGTCTAGGGCTTAGGGAGGTGAAATTTTGATAACATTTGCCTGGTACAGTCACTATGAAGACAGAGACACAGTGGCAGAACTAGGGACTTAATATCTGAAACAAAATATCCTGATGCCTCCATGCATACAGAAAATCAGGCTCCAGTCCTGACTGTGGTTGGGAGGGGAGGTACAAGTGTCCACGAGCAAGCCACCCCACATCTGTGTGGCACACACTTTCATGTTAGCTTGTCACCTCTCTGAAGCTGCAGGGCAGGCAATACCAGGCCATGTGAGGAAACAGGATCATAGGTTAGTGCAGGCCATGCTGCTGTATGTGGCAGAATCAGGTCTCTAACCAGAGCTCTGACCCCAGGACCCAAGGTTCTCCCGGTGGCACCCAGTCACCTTGGGGAGCCAGCATGAAGAGGCATATTAGTGTTCTAACATTTGCCCACAGCAAACCCCTCCTAGTAAAGCCATGGTCAGGCTAACAGCTAGTTCAGGAGGCTAAGCATGGGAGACCTTAGACTTTAGCCACAGCAGTTGGGAATTTCTTCATGGATCCAACCAAAGGCAGCCTTGAGGATACACTGAGATCTCCTGGAGCCCAATGCTGCTTCCCACTTACCTTCTGGATGTACCCTCCAAAATGCATCATGTTGGACAGAGCTTTCTTCTTGCGGGCCTCATCCTCAGCCTTCCTCCTGTTCTCCTCCTCCTCACGCCGGGCCCTCTCTTCCTGATTTCAGGGAGGGCAAATAAATACATTAATGGCAAGGGTGAGAAACCAAACTCTGGGTTGAAGCTGGTGTTCCTTACAAATGAGATCAGCTTTCTTCTCACTGGACAAGGAGCTTTCTGAGGTACCCTCTGGCACAAGGTGGGCATACTGGAGTTTACTGAATGGGCAGATGAACTGTTGTATGAATGAGTTAATGAAGCACCGACTCACATCCCCCCAGGCTGAGAGGCCCTCCGTCCCCTTGTAGCCTATACTAGGAAAGGGATAGGGCCTAGAGGTCTTAAAATCATGAGCACAAGGCCCCAGCATGTCTGTCCCATTCACTGGTGTGTTGTCAACACTGGGCCAATAACCTGAATGTCTGTGATAAATGCTGCCTCTCAAGCTGATGTCTGTGAATAGAGAGGGCACTGGGATTTCCGGGACTCAGTGGCTGGGCTAGGCTCACTCACAGCCAGGCGGTTCTGTCGTTCCTTCTCCCGCTCATTTCGGATGCGCTGCTGCTCTGCCCGCTCTGCCCGCCGCTTTTCCTAGGGAGAGAGGTAGAAACTCCTGTGTGTGCCCCTGGGGGGTGTTATCCCCAGTACAGGAATTGGGAGGTGGCTCTCTTCTGTGTGCTTCTGTCCTCAGCCTGCTCCAGGGATGCAGAGGCAAGTGGCCCATCACGGGAGGGGGGGGTGTCTTCTAAAAGCCCATTGGAGACTGTCTCAATCCTGTGGGAAATGCCGAGTGGATCCTCTTGTCTCCTTAAGGGCTATATCCACATTCTGGCCCCAGCCCCGGCCCTGGCAACTTCTCTGTGCTCAAAGATACGTGGCCTCAGTGCCCATCTGAGGAAAGTAGGTTGGCTACAGAAAAACAAGGAATCAAATAATCTCCCAGAGAATTCCAGATGTTGTCTAGGATCCCACAGGCTGATCCCATGTCTCTTGCATTAGTGAGGCAGGCAGCTATGCCCCATGGGTAGGAAAGAGGAACAGGGAGAACACAGACATTTGACTATCATTCCACAGCCAGTGGTGTCTGCTTAGGCCCAGCTGGAGCCAGAAGTTATCAGGCTCCTGTTGGCAAGGAGCATCCACACTGATAGGCAGGTGGCAGGGACCCAAGGAGAACAATATCCAACAGGTTGGCAGCTTGAGGCAGGCTGCAGGGGCGGGGGAAGGAGGATGAGGTGGATTGTGGAAGATTGACACATACGATCCTGTCTTTGAGAGAGATCAGCTCCTCCTCCTCCTTCTTCCGGTTCTCAAAGTGAGCCTCGATCAGCGTCTGCAGCTCATTCAAGTCCTTCTCCATGCGCTTCCTGTGGATGTCCTGTGGGGAGAGCCTGGCTGAGCCTGCCCGGACCCGTGAAATGGGTGGCTCAATGTAAAAGGTACTGCCAGGGCTAGGAGCCTGAGACTCTGTCACCCTGTGCCAGCCTGCCAATGGCCTGCCCCAGCCCCAGCCCACAAGACCAGGAGATCTGACACTCTCATTAGAGACCGTATCATCACCCTAGGCTGTCCCGCTCTACCTGCAGCCTCCACTCACATCAAAGTCCACTCTCTCTCCATCGGGGATCTTAGGTGGCACCAAGTTTGGCATGAAGAGCCTGCTGCAGAGAGGAGTGGAGGGTTAGGGTCATCAAAGCAACTGGAGGGGGCCGTATGTGCTCCTGGAGCCCCCGGGGCTGTCTTCCTGCTTGAGTGTTCTACTCTGTGATACTGTCAGCACCGATGTCTACCTCACGAGCTCAGACTTTCACTTTGTCGTCTTGCTAAATCCCAGAAGGGGGCAGCACTGAGCTCCATTAAGAAAATGGAGGCTTAAAACTACACAGCGGGGAAACAGAAGAGCTGAGCTTAGATGACGACCCTGCGACCCTGAGACCCTGCGTAGATCTCTGATCCTTGATTTCCTCACATGCTCTTGGGCCTTCGGGAGCTAAAATGAGCTGCTCCAAGCTATACAAAGCAACCAGCACAGAGGATGAACAGAGCTAAGACCCCCACACACACCACACCACACCACATTACCACACACACACACACACACACACACACACACACACACACACACACACACACACACACAAACACACACACACACACACACACACACACACAGAGGCCACTGGAGGCCATGAAGGTGTTACAGCGCCATCTGCTGGCAGGATAAGCGTTGCCAAGAAGGAAATGCTCCCTGTCTTACTGGCCCCACACAAAGCCACCAGATGTAGAACCAGGTATGGGACGAAGCTGTCCCGTTACGCCCTTTTGAAGCTCTCCAAAGCTGTCATGCCTACGTTGGTATGGTTTCACTACTTAGCTCCCCAAAATTTCCCCTAGGTCCCACCCCAGCCAGGACGGAAGTCATCCTGTGGGATAGGCAGTGTGTCTGTCCAAGGCTATGACTAGTCCTAACGCCATTCTGTAGATGAATGTAACTCCTACCATGTTAGAGAAGAAAATAGGTAGTGAAGTGCAGGCTGCAGTCCATCTCCCATCCTTCCCCTCCAGCAGAGGTCTTCCGGCAGTGTAAAACTTGTCCAACCCTCTGTGGTAGTCTGTGCCTACTCCAGCTCCTGCTCATGCTCCATATACCACAGGCATTCCTGTCTCTTTTTGGTCAGCCTCCCTAACTGGCCTCTGCCCCCAGGGCTTTATCACTGGTTCATCCCACTCACCTGGGCTTGGGTTTGGACTCCTCGGCTGGACCATCTGGAGGAGAAAGAAGGAGGTATGGGGTCAGCAAGTCTGACTCTTCTCAGCTCCACCCTGAGCTGCACACCTGCAAGTCTCTGTTCACCCATCTGCAAGGGGAGTCTCTCCCAACCATGCTAAATCTGGACTTCCATAATCACTAACAGGCATGGTGGGGAGCCTGAAGATGAGGTCACAGAGAATGGCTGGCAGTGTCTACGGGCTCCGAACACTAGACCCGGACCCTCAGAGCCTCCTCTCACCTGTTCTGGCTTGGGAAGACTGCTTCTCAGCCTCCACAGTGAGGCAGGGGCTTGTGGAAAGGTTCCTGGGGCTCCAACCGTAGAGCCCCTCTCAGGTTTGCCTTAATGTTTTGGGCCCCAGACTTCCTGGCAGCCATAGGACCAAAGAACTATTGGGCATGGTTCCAAGGCCTGGCTGGATGTTCCCCCAACCTCCCACCCTGTGTCTGAGTGACTGGAGCCAACTGATAGAGGCAGCAGCCTGCCAAGGACCTTGATGATAATGTCACCACAGCACGAACCATGTCTTGGAAGTCCATCCTATAAACACCAGACCCCATTAGCATTGCCTGGGAACCAGGAGCCTGGGGTGTGAGTGTGACTTCTGAGTCCACTACCCTGCAAAGACCAGGGGGATAGATGCTGGTTCCCTCTCCTATTGGGCACTAAGGCCACATCTATGAGGTAGAGGACAAAGGTTCAGAGCCCCCCCCCAAGCCCTGCAAGTGCTGCCAAGTTCTGCCTTCCAACCCTTTCCTGTATAACTTCTGGTGGAATCCCCAGGCACAGTCTTTCACAAAGCTATTATGACAAGTTCTCTCATCATACCCAACTCCTGGACTGACATCCAGCAGCACTTACCTTCAGCATCTCTGGCTTCTTCATCTGGACCAACCTCTAAACAAAACACAAGCAATCAACAAAAGTCCTGTACTGAGCTCATTTCCCTAAGGGCGTTGCCCAAAGCTGGGCATACTAGCCTCTTCATTTAGTGTAGAGTAACCATGAAAGAGGCACCGGATTGATGATCATCAACTAGAAAATGGACTGCTGCATCCCCCAGCCCAGTCAGGCATCTCAGGCACATGAGCTAGACAGCAGCTGGACAACTGGCATCTTAAAACACCACCCCTGAGCCCCTTGTCCCCTCACCCTGGCATACCTTCTGCTTTGGTCTCCTCTGTCTCAGCCTCACCCTCAGGCTCAGGCTCAGCCTCAGCCCCACCATCCTCCTCCTCCTCCACTGCCTCCTCTTGCTCTGGAGAGGTGAACCAGACACCATGAACAACCAGGCCCCTCTCTCAGCAACCAGACAGCACCCCAGAACAGAGATCAGCCTGGGAGGGGTGGAAGAGGGCCAGGTTCACATGACTTGGGAGCCATGGCCTCAAATGACAGAAGGGATGCTGCTTTGTTCCAGGTTTAAACCAGAAGTCAACAAACTAGAGCCCTAGCCACACCATGCCCAGGGCTACTTCTGTAAGCAAAGTGTCATAGGCATGCAACCCCACTCACTCATCTGCCCTCTCATCTGTGCCTCAACCCCACAAGTGAGGAAGTGTAGCAGGAACTGTGGATCTGCCAGCCCAAGTGTTCACTGTCTACTCCTTTGCAGGAAAGGGAAGACCTAACCGAAGGGCACCATCTGCCTGGTAAGTGTCCCAGATTTGCTACCCTGGGAGTTTGGAAATCAGAATGGAGTCTTCCCCAGTGTGGACACCTATTTGACATCTGGGGACTTCCGGACAAGCCAGATATTTGAGGGGGGAGCATGTGGTGTGGGAGTGGGTGCTCTGGGGAGCACTATTGATGGAGGACAGCGAGACTCGCCGCTGGGGACCAGTTGGGGTAAGGGCCTGTCCAGCCTCTTTCTGCCCAATTTAGAACTTGCCTTTCCTAGGGCCTCCCTAGTGATATGGTTCCATCGTCTTCCCTAACTTTTCACCCTGGAGGCTCCATTCAGCGCCTGGCACCACAGGACAGACCCTGACTAAGCTGAGGTGCCAAGGAAGGTCTGTTGTGAGCCTGAGGACTTATCAAGTCTGTAGACCCTCCCTCCATATCTAGCAGAGACCAAAGCCATGAGATTGGGCGGATGGATGAAACACCCAATATTTAGAGAGTTGTGCTACCCAGAAGGTTGCCAGGAATTTCTATTTTCATCATTTGCTTGGCAGGATGTAGACCCCGCCTCTCCCAACATTCAGAAGGGACAGACAGATTAGGGAGGCAGGATGCCATCCAGATCATGACTCGGCTTAGCGGAAGTGCTTGTAACATTCAGTGATGGATAGACTGACAAGTGGTGGCCCTTGGCAGAAGGAGAAGAAAACACCTCATGACAGAAAGAACCATCGGAGGAAAAGAGGGCACCCCACCTCTCTGCTCATCTTCTCTGACCTCCTTTCCTAGGACTGGGTCCCCACTGAGGTCTGGGGTACTTCTTTTAATCCTGCAGGAGATTTGCCAGGAGCAAGAGGTAAGAGGGAGGAGGACAGTTATGGGGTCCACCTTGAGGCCACCATGCTAATACCTCTTCCGTACACCCTAGGCTTCATCTCTCTGTGTCATGTGCCCTTTGCCCAGTGGCCACATAGAAGCTCAATGAGCAGGTCACACTTAGGGCCTCCCTGGATGTCACTGTGGATAAGTCGGTCCTAAAATTACACCCTATTCTGTCTCCTTTGCCCTCCTGTTATCGCTGGGAGCAAGTCCAGCCCCAGCAGCACACATCTGAAGGCTAACCTCATGTCCTCTCTGCTCTAGCTATTTGCAGTCTCCTCTGATACCCTTCAATGTCTTTGTCCTCAGAGCCCTAACCCCTTGGCCATCGTGCCTTAGGCAAAACAGGGAAGGTCCCCACATGGAACACTGCCATGGACAGTGGAGCAGTTGGGGTTCATCCCTGCCATAAGAACCCTCTGTGACCACATGTGGAGTGGGTGGGAAGACAGCACAGCCCAGATCCATCCCACTGCCCACCTCAGAGAAAAATCAAGACAGAAAAAAAGGAATGGGCAAGGGGCCCTAGGGCCCTGGCCCCTCTGAAGTTGTGGACCTTCCTAGCCCAAGCCCAGAGCCCAGGAGAAACAGGAGAGCAGAGACAGGAACAGGACAGCAAAAGCTATACTACCGTCTTCATCTTCGCTCCAGTCTTCCTCTTCCAGGCGCAGGAGGTGACAGCGGCAAAGGGGGCAAAGCGGAACACGTTAGTGTGCAGCAAAAAGCCTGGTGGCAGTGCAGGCCACAGCCAGCTCAGAGTTAGGCCTGAACTCCGATTCTCAAGCCAACGCGCAAGCAACATGGCAGCCTCACACCTCAGTGACATCCCGAAGCCTCAAGTGGACGGACATCATGACAGTCAGTTCCCAACCACTCCTAGGAAGCATTCAGGCCCCGCCTGCTTCTAAGCTACAGGCTCGGCTTCTCTCTCACTAAGATAGTGGACCCCAGGACCAGAAAATAGGAAAAATTAACTTCCCCCAATTCCAACTTCTCCTATATTCCTGCCCTGAGTGAGTTTTGGAACTATCCCGCAAAACGCCTACAGACTCCCAGGATCACATCTGGGACCGCCACACTGGGGGCCATACCAAGGGGGTGGCCTGGCCTGTTGGGAGGCATGGGCTCAAAATCTGAGGAGGTTGACTATGTTTTCCCGTTGTTCTTGATGCAAATCTCTGCTTAAGGAAGAGCTTAAGAAACTAGCAGGGGGATCTCTGTGAAGTTCTAGGCCAGCCTGGTTCACAGAGCTACTTCTGAGACAGCCAAGGCTACACAATGAAATCCTGTATCAAAAAACCAAAAGAGGTAAGAGAAGGGGGTGGGAAGGATGATCTTAGCAGCAATGGGAAGATGGTTCGCCCTAGAACAAAGGCCCTTAGGACTATCTGCCCTGTAGGTTTCAGCTGCTCGTCTGGACCTCTCCCTTGTGAGCCAGAGGCCATGCCTTGGACCATTCAGGACACACAAGGCAGACACAGATGCTGCAAGGAACTCGCTCCACTGAGAACTTTGACTCCCAGACAGAACCTGCTGTGTGTAGTAGCCAGGCTGGAGTTCCTAAACCTGGCTGAAGTCTGTTTCCCAAACCCTAATACCCAGAACCTGCTGTGATTAGAAGGAAAACCCACCAAGGCAAAAGAATGCCTAGCAGATGGCTCCCTTCTATGGAGGAAGTTGGAAGCA